CTAAGTAGTTTGTTTATGCATGTCTGCACTGCAGGAATGGGAGATGTGTATGCCGGTCTCCATCACCGACAATGAAGATTGGTAGTCAAAAATATCCAACAGACATTAGACCATATTCGTGAATAATAGTTTCGTTTTTACGTGTTTTGTAGCATGTTTATTGTTACTAGCTGTGCATTTCTATATTTTGTATTACTCATTAAAGCATTTCAGATTTTCTTTCTTTTCTTATTCTGAAAGTAAATGGCTCTATGGGAAACATAACACGATCTTATCTTACAGTTATGAGAAACACATCATCAGTTTATTTTGAACCCATTGGATATATTAACTCGAGTTTTTATTACAACTATGAGAAATAAGTCGAGCGTATCTTATTAACTATGGAAAATATAAATCCAGCTCATAATGCTAGTATGAGAAACATAATTTCAGTTTATTTTGGAGCTATAAGGAATATAACACAAGCTTATTTCGCAATTACGAGAAACAAAATTATAATTTGTTTTACAACTATGAGAAAAATAACTCAAGCTTATCTTACAACAATGAGAAATGTAACTCGAACTTTTTTTTGCAGCTATTAGAAACATAATTCAAGCTCATCATCAGTTATGAGAAATATAACTGGAACTCATCTTGCAGCTATGAGAAATATAACTACAGCTCATCTTGCAAATCTGAGCAACAAAACATGAAATTATCTTGCAATTTCAGTGAAATATTTTATGAATATTTCTTGAAGAACTTTCAACAATGATCTTCTGTGGTATATAACTATAATTTTAATTTTAATGCTGTGAGATGAGAGGCAAGTGTGATCGCCATTAGGAATTTAATTAAGACGAAAGATCATGCGGATAGATTTTAAGTGAGGGGTGAGATTCTCAGCGCCGCTATAACTTTGAAGATTTTCTTCTGAGATGTGATGCCATGTAGTCTGATAGAAATTTACTGTCTACTGAGTTTATGTTCAGGATAGAAGACTGCCTGGCAATATTTCTACCAGACGGCATGTTGTAACGTTCCAGAATTTAGTAATCTGCATATATTTTATGTTTAGTTTTTGTTTCTTTGTTCGTTTAATGACCTTCTATGTACTGTTTGGCGTATGATTTGAAAGACAAGGAGTAGGAGAAATGCGTTCTTTCCCATCTTAAGCTCTGTAGCTTTCGCATCCATTCAGTCCTCCTGCTTGACCATAAGCTTTCACGTCATTCTTCGTCTTCCCAGTTTCCTTTTCCAGTTTGGTATTCATCTCATTTTTTTGTTGCCCTACATTTGATCACTGTGTTCTTTCCATTTTGTTCTTCTCTTATTAATCCATTTGTTTAGAGTTGATTTCACACTCTCTTAAAACTGGTCTTCTCATTTTATCACCTTCTTTTGCGTGATCTCTCGTAATGACCGCCTCTGTGGTCTAGTGGTCAGAGTTCCTGGCTGCAGATCCAGAGGTCCCGGGTTCAATTCGTGGCGCTACCAGATTTTCTGAGAAGTAGTGGTTCTGGAACGGGGTCCACTCAGCCTCGTGAGGATATCTGGGGAGCTATTTCAAGGAAATAGCGGATCCGGTCTAGAAAACCGGAATTAGCGGCCATGGGGATTCGTTGCCCTGATCATGCTAAACCGTCTAACCACTAAAGTTAGCATTAATTTCGCCAGTAAGCGGAGGTCGCCCGGTCGGTAGAAATCGCTTGCGGACTAAAACCACGGAGTTTGTTTCTGTTTGATCTCTCATAATATCTTTATCTGTGTAGTTTAATTGAGTTCCTAATTTTTGTTATAAGTATGAACGGAAATCTAGTAAATAGCTTTCATAGACTCTTAAGGCAATATATACGTATTGTAGCTCGTACAGCCGTTACTACGCAACGACCTCGGTATAAGCAAACATACCAGAGCCGTTTCGAGGTAACGGATCGCTAAACATGGTTCTAGCAGCAACAGATACGAATGCAGAGCAACAGAGCAACGGTGTTTTCTATCTGATCCCTGCCGGGATGTTATAAGTGAGAAGAGATTTAGAGCTTAGTCAGTTGATAGGAGGTGAGAAGAAGACTAGGAAGCTGGTGTGAATTTCCCACGATTTAGTTTCAAGAATACTGAGTATAAAGTCCGGCTTTGAAGAGAAGACTTTATGTATGATATTTGGAGTGTGTAATTTACTGAGACTGTTGTAGTTTCTGTTAAAATCCTTTACCAAGGAACGGCTCGTGGAAGCTGTAATAGACTGAGAACACTAGTCTGTGTGTGTCAGTGATCTATAAAGTGTAGTTACAAGTCGTGAGTGTATGAGCTGTCAATATATTGAGCCAGCAATCCAAAACCCTTCTATAGGCACTCATACCCATGACAGTATTGTTAGGACGGGATTAATAAAGACAAATAACAACTTCAGAATAATTGTTCCCCGTTGAGATTCGATCTGGGTGTTCACAAGTACGAATCGCAATTTAAAAAAATCTTCACCGTTACGATCGGTCAACGTAGACTTGAGGAACCTGAAGTTCTCTTTCCTTAATTGTAAACTCTTTGTGTACCTGGATGAAGTAGTTACTTCAACACACATCACATTGTAAATTCTCGCTTTCACACACACTTTCGTGGAATCAGTTTTCCTGTTTGTCTTATCTAAAGAATAACTCTCATGAACCCTTTAAAGACTGAATTTCTTCCAATAAATATATAAAAATTCAGTTTGAACCTCACAGGAAACACAATTGTCTCCGCTACACACACCAACCGGTTAAATTTGTCTAGGGAAAGAAATGATGTATACAGTTAGAACCATATCAAACACACAGTCTATGTATAGACTACAGAATTTTGGTATAGTGAAGGAGATGGCATATCTCTCTGGCCTTAAATGGTTAAGGCATACTACTGGGGGGACCATTGAGTCACTATAGGATGGACGTCCAGAAGTCGGTTGCCTGGATTAAAGTGGCCGAAGTTTGAAGCTAGTCATCCACCTTCATCTACTACCGATGATATAAGAATGCATGGAGCTTTGCCGCTACTCCTAATACGTCTTCGTATGTTAATAGATGTGACATAGAACACGTGATTCGTTAATTATATTATATTGGATCTGAGGTGATTATGAACACCTCTAACGTCCAGAAACGTAATACGAGTAGTTGTTTTAACTTCTGGGATGTAACTCCGTGTGGTTTGTTGAAAATCAGTCGATGTTTCGGAGGATCATGTCGCCTCAATCTTCACAAAGATAGACTCGATCAGTTCCTCTGAATCATGGATTGGGTTTCAACGGAACACTCGGCGTTATATCCCAGAAGGCAGAACTCTATATCAAGACCACTGTGTGTATTTTATGGGACTTGGAATTGATATATGGAAGTCTCCGCGAGCGACGTTTTATCTCTCCTCAGTAATTAAGGTTTACTGCTGCTGCACCACTTTAACCCCTCTCTATTTTTGTAACATGCTTCATGTCGTGGTTAAATATTTTTAACCGAGGGTTTCCAATACAATAACTAATAATAAAAATTTCGATAGGTTAGATTTAAGTTCTTTATATTTACTGTTCTGTATGGGTGTGGAGCTTGGTCTCCGACATTAGGGAGGAACATAGACTGACGGTGTTTGAGAACAGGGTGTTGAGGAGAATATTTGGACCGAAGAGAGATGAAGTGACAGAAGGTTAGAGAAAACTTCATAACTTGTTCTCTTCTCCAAGTATAATTAGAATGATAAAGTCAAGGAGAATGAGACGGGCAGGGCATGTAGCACGAAAGGGGGAGAAGAGGAATGCATATAGAATATTGGTAGGAACGCCAGAAGGAAAGAGACCACTGGGAAGACCAAGGCGTAGATGGGTGGACAATATTAAAATGGATCATAACGAGATAGAATGGGATGATATAGGATGGATTAATCTGGCTCAAGATAGGAACCAGTGGAGGGCTCTTGCCATCATGGTAATGAACCTCCGGGTTCCATAAAATGTTGGGATATTCTTGAGTAGCTGCACAATTGGCGGCTCCTCAAGAAGAGCTCAGCTTCATGAATGATTTATATTTAGTATAATCCTGAACTTTATTTTAAAGTTATAGTTGAATTTTTCATTGTGTTAATTTGAATTAAAATTTTGGTACATGGAAATAATTAATAAAATGCACAAAAAAAAATAGACACGCGTTTACACATTCAGCCCCTTAATGTTAAGATTTGTGATTTTTGAGTGTGTTTATGAGCATAATTACCATATAATATGTATTAGGCACGGCTAGCCTCCTCCTCCTGCATATCTGAAGATTATTCTTTCATAAGTACCTCAACTTATCTCACTCCACATAATGTGAATTAAAGAAGTTGATGCAGCTTCAAAGAATTACTGAACTGTCAACGAATATTAATATTAGTATGTTGAGAAAATACTCATGTAGGTTGTACGGTGCTTTGGTAGTAGACAGATTCGATATCGAGTTGAAATATGTGGTAAAATTTTGTTTCGTTGTATCCCTGTTATGCAGGATGATTGAAATCACTGTACTGTATTCCTTAATTGAAAACCTAACAAGAACACCTTCGATTATATTTAAAAGAATCTATAATACAAAGAAAACTCTCGCAGAGTTCAGTTACATTGCCTTTTCCACTAACAAATCAAATCTTAAATTTGAGTGTATTTTTTAATTTTTATTTGTTTATACTGTATAGCAGATAACGCGAAATCATAATTAAGCTGCGTATATTGAAACACAAACAAAAACAAGGATGACAATAGTAAAAACGAAAAATTTAAGCTGTAACAGGAATGGAAATGGAACTTGAATTTCTACATGGTTCACAATTAATGGATCAACTCATATGAGATGCAGTCACTCTCTGAATTTCCAACGACGTTTAACCCTAAAAAAAAACAGTTCAACAAGAGATGACTTAGTTTCCACAAGACGTGCTATAACCCAACAGCAACAGACCCTTAAGGGATTTTGTTCAACCCATGACCCTTAGAAAAATAACAAATATCTTACCTCATAAAAATAAAACGAGTTTATGTCCTGGGTCTGAGATTGTGTGATGTTATGGCTGTAGGTATCATTGACATTGTTGTAGTCTTCTGTATCACTGAAGCAGATACTGTTAAATTTTTCAGTTGTTTTTGTTGTTGTTCTTATTGTTGCTGCTGCTGCTGCTGCTGTTGTTGCGGTGCTACTGAAGATGACGATGTTTCCGGAAGCGTCGCCGTCGCTCCAGGAGCAATTTAAATCTGCTGGCGCCGTATCCATTTACTCCACACCGCCCTCCTCTGAGTTCAATGTCCACTACATCCCGCAAAGGAAAATTACTACTTCACTGCACCCCCACCAATTTACAACTCTTGATGCTACACAAACCTAACAATTGCAGTTGTACTTCGCTACACCCCTACCAGCTGAGAGCTCTTGAAACTACACACGCCTGGCAACAGCATATTTAAACGATAGACTTGCAACAGCAAAGAACTGTTTTAAAACTTCTGCTCCCTACAGATTTACTCTGTTTGTCACACGGTGCCTGTTATTTGTATGCGTCCTAATTCCACTTAACTTCTTATATTCTACAAAGTCAGTGAGTGATATTGTCACATACGTATAATTAATTATATTATAAACAATATGAAGTTCTTTTTACGAAATACTGAAGGCGACGATTTTTATTGATATAGTACATATTTTCTGTTAATGTGATAAAGGATTTATAATGACAACATTGAACATTTAATTAAGCGTGCCATTAGATAAATATTTCGACATGACTGAGACCTATATTTAAATCTGCGGAACAAAATGAAGGAACTAACGACATTAATTAAATTACCGAATGTGAAATCTTCTATAACGAAACATTTAAAGATTTCTTGCAGAGAAGGATCACGTGACTGAAACAATTTTAAAGTGTAGAATGGATATAATTTCAGTATCTAATAGTTGGGAAGACGTTGGCCTTTTAAGTATTCTATAAAACATTTCCATTTAAACCCACATTGCCTTTGTTTCGTAAGTCTGACATTGATCTTAAAACACGATAGTCCACGAACGATGACTCCGAAGAACGAAACTGCTTGACAGATAGGCAGCTTAATTACGTGTCTTGTATCCCTTGAGTCACAGAGAAATGTCAGATGAAGAAACCAGATTACGAGTTAAGAAAAGAGAAGACTGCGCGAGTCAAGCTGAAGACACATGAAGCTTTATCACGCGTACCGTCTGACAGTCGGCGAAGTTGGAACAGGCGTCAGACCGAGGTCTTCCGCGCGTGGCGCCCGGTCGACGTGTGATGCTGCTTCCTCGCTCGCGAGAGAGAACCAACCGGTCTCTATAGAAGCATGCATCTCAATGCAGCGCCTGCGCTCCAGCCAGACGCAACTGAAATTTTAGTACCCTCTGCTCTAACTGTAGTCGGGAAGAATTTCGTATTAACTTCGCGTTTGTTCAACTCCAAGAAAAATGTGTATATTAGAGATGCGCCTGAAGACGTCAGTCTTTTGTGTTGTTGCAAGTTACTTTACTAATGTCCTCGAATTATGTAAACGATGTATTGCTGATACATGTATTTGCATCTAAACCAGAACTGCAAACAAATATAATTAAACTTCTATGCACATGTTAACTAGTCTGTATATCTTTAACCTATCCTTATTTAAGAAAAAATAAATAAAATTAGGCTTATGAAATCACCTTGTTCTCTGTGTAGTTGTATGTCTCCGTGTCTGTGTGTACCCCCGCCCCTAATATTTTCGTTTTCTATGGGGTCCATGTCGGATCAAAGGAAATAAGGCCATCAGTTCTTCGCAAAACTTCTTGTTATGTTCTTGTAATGAGAACGTGGATTTAAGAAGAGTTGTAGTTGTCGACTGAAATGATAACGACAGAGCTCAATAGTACAGACTCAGCCAGTTGGCTCAATCGATAATGCCTCTAACTTGTATTCGGGAGCTACTTGGTTCTAACAGCCGGCTTGCTGACTGCCATGGTCGCAGCTGTTTTGTTGATTTCATCAGTATTCCAAGACAAACTGTGGGATCGTACTTTAAAGTAGGCCACGATCGATTCCTTTCGCCTTCCTCCCAATTCATTATTTACTACCATCCAAATGTTCGATGCTCTATAACCTGAATTGCCTATCACAGTGGTCGCTCGGTCTAAGGGATGAACTGTCTTCGCTCGCCCGAACGCTGGGATCGTGAGTTCGAATCCCACTCAAGGCGTGGGTCTGTGTGCCTTTATTCTGTATTTATATTGTTCTGTGTGTGGGTAGCGGTCTTGCGACGTGCTGCTCCCCCGTCCAAAGAATCCTACAGACTGTATATAGGATTGAGAAACTGAAAAACGTATAAGGTCGAAAAAAAGAACTGTAAAGTCATAGATATATGATCCGAATTACTAATGGCGTCGTTGATAAGCTACATGTAAGCACACCGCAGTGTAGTAACTGTACAGCAATATGGAAAATATCACAGTCACCTATATTCAGTTGTGGTATGCGGCAAATTCCGTGACATTTCTCGTAAACAGAGATTTGAATGGAGATGGATTAAACATTTTCTCATTTTTATTAGCTCGAACATCACAGTAGAGTAGTCATAATTCCTCCTTCATGTTCAATAATTCCTGGGTTCGATTCTAGATCCAAAGGCTAACTGTTTAACGTGGCTTTGTGCTTTCAAATAGGTCATGATCATTTTCTTGTGTATTCTTCACAATTTTTCATATACAATCACTTGTTCTTACGTACCCCTTGCAGCTGTGAAATTATCGTTGAATAAAGAGATTTCCCAGTATCACCAGCAGTACTGAACAGACTGTTGAGATACTGGGTAGGTTAGATTTCATGTTCTCACGGACAATCAGGATTACAGTGTTACGAAATTCGAAGCCATATATTTTTACAAATGGGTACAGACGTTTCCGAGGAAACTGTTGTCTCCATTTTCATCTTCTAGCCTGAATAATGGGCTAGCAAGTTTCACCAAAGCGTTTGTACCCTTAAGATAAACTGTATGGTGACACATTCTAAAACCTAACTAAACAAATTAAATTCATGGAGCTGAGCCCTTCTTGAGAAACCGCCAATTGTTCAGTTACTCAAGAACTTCACAATTTATGAAACCTGAAGGTTCATTATCGTGTTCACAAGAGCCCTATACTACAGCCCTATCCTGAGCCAGATCAATTCATCCCATATCATCCCATTATATCTCTGTAAGATCATGTAAATATTATCCACCCACCTACGTCTGGGTCTTTCTTATGATCTCTACCCTTCTGGCTTTCCCAGCAGTATCCCATATGCTTCTCATTATGTAGTTTTCTCCAATCTCCCATTACTTCATATCTCTTAGGGCCAAATATTCTCATCAACACTCTGTTCTCAATCATCCTCAGTCTATGTTCCTCCCTTAATAACAGAGACAAAATTTTACACCCTTACAGAACAAGAGGCAGAATTATAGTTCTGTATTTTTTTATTTGTATGTTTTAGGACAGCAGACGAGAAGACAAAAGGTTCTGGATTGAATGGTAGCAAATATTACCCGAATGCAATCTCCTTTCAATTTCCTCCTGAATCAAACTTTGATTTGTTACTGTCGTTCCCAAATATCTCAACTGTACCACATTTTCAAAAGATCTGTTAGCTCTATTTATGTCACGATTTTGCCCTGCATTCTGGTGACGAGACAGCAACATATACTTAGTTCTCTCTGTGTTTACTTCTAGACCAACCTCTTTACTTGCGTCAATTAAAGTTTGTGTTTCTTTCTTTATGGTATCTACATTATCACCCAGCAGATTCACTTCATCGGCAGAGATCTGGAATTGATATCTCCCATTTAATTTCGGTCCAACCTGGATTTCCTGGACCTTCCTAATGATATATTCTAAAGCAAAGTTGAAAAGCATGGGCGTTAAGGCATCTCCTTGTCACATCCCAGAAAATCATATACGAGTATAAAGGAATTTTAACATTTTACACCTACAAATATGTCAGTAAAATTTCTGCCTATTCGCACTAAAAGATAGTGAGGCAGAAGAAAGTGACAAAGGAGGAAACGCATCAAAATCTATTTTAATTAATATTTTGGACACAGAAAACGAATATATAGATCCAATTATATGTAAACTGGAAGACTGGTGCAAGGCAGTGTTAAATTGGTTATTAATCTATGTGTCAATCACTCTGATATGAAAATGCAAAACACCTATGACGTAAAGTGCGTGACGTGAACCCGAGAGCTCTGTTGTGGCAGGAACCTGCATCTTCTTGCCGCTTATGAACTGTAGAAGGGAAACTGGTTATTAAGTAAAGTATGACACAAAAGTGATTAACTTTGCTAGGCTAGAAGGATGCAGTAACAGTAGACATCGCTGTTACACTCGTCATGCTCTGCTTTAGGGCCCAGCCTACGTATTCTCCTTAGGAGATGTATGAAAAAAAATCCTGTGTATTTGTCGCGTCTGGGATTCAGTTCCGACTTGTTTGGTCATGGAAGGTCTTGTTAGCCTTCACAGCAAGAAGACAAAGAATTGTCTTCTGTTACAACATAATTAATTTACAGGTTATGGAATGGTACAAGGAGGGTGGAGCTGTTCACACAGGAACACTTCATTTCTTCAAGAACTATTTCAATATCAAGAAGTTCTAAGAATAACTAACCGCCTAATTTCATTCGATACGACTTGGAACACATACAAACCTCAAACCCAAACTCTCTTAAGTTTTTGCGTGTGTGTTCATTGCCGCGGGAACATGTCAAAATCAAAATCAAAGTTACTTTACGACTTTACCTCCAGTCAGTTAGTCTTGGCGCCAAGTACCTTGAGGATCAGGACCAGATATTTTTTAAGTGAAATCTTGCAGCCATAGTTCTTATGTAACGTCCTCTCTGACGAGAAGATTGGTTTGGCTTTTATCAATATGCTTAGCCTTTCGTCAAATGCACGTAGCACATACAGCGTGTTATTGAAAAGTCTTCCTTTTTCTCTATTTACAAGTCCTCTCTCGGTACAGGCTTTGCAGAGTAGATCATGCTCATCTCACGTATCTTATGCTACGACGGCTGCTTAGTCACTTGAACGGTCATAAGCTTGACCACCGTCAACTTTATGCCTCTTATATTTTCTAGCGCGAACATGTTTACGGAGCCGTTGTCTATCAAGATGGGAGGGATACATATACAGACACACATACATCAAAGTGATCTTATAAGCCTATTTTTATTTTTAACCTACTTTCCTTATTTTAAAATATAAAAGGAGGCGTATGAAATCATCTTGATGTCTGTATACCTTCATGTCTGTGTGTCCCTTACCGTTACTAGGCAAAGGCTCGGTAAGAAACTTTCCTGAGATGAATACACATACAGTGAAGGGACCGTTAGATGGGTGTTCCTCCTATCAGTTAATTGAAGTGCAATAGTATGAGTGAGTGAGTGAGTGTGTGTGTGTGTGTGTGTCTGGAGATGAGGACCATCTAATGAGTGAGTGCCAGCTCAAGTCAATCCCAGTAGAGGAGGAGTGACCAGTAGTATTTAAGATTCCTCCTCTAATTAGAAGCCCCATTTCGGTAAACATCTTGAAAAGCAAAATATGGTCATGGTTCCTGATGGGACTCGAAACCAAGAGTTACTGTGTTGACGAGGACCACCAGCAATTTACTCGACCGACCGACGTATTAGTTCTTCTCAGAATTCTTAAAATATGGAAAGCATGTTGAAAATATTTCATCTGTGTTGTGGACCTTCTTTCATTACATTTTGTGTTCTTTTGTTTTCGGAGCAAGTCATTTTGCTCATAGACTGAAATCTTGTTGTGGTAATTACATACTGCCTGATTATTTTGGGTGTGTCACGCGGTAGCGTAGTTAGTTGAGGCATTATGGTGCAAGCCGCCAGGTCGCGAGTTCGAATCACGTTGAGGAAATTTGATTTTTTTTTCAATTTACCTAATCCTTTCAGCCTCACTATGGACCTGGGATCGACTCAGTCTGTAACAGAAATGATTATCAGGAATTTTCCTGGGGGGTAAAGGCTGCAGACGCGTAAAGCCTGACAACCTTGCCGCCATCTATCAGCCGATTGTCTAGAAGGTATCGGAGCCTCAACGTCCCACAAACCTATGGGCCTTCATGGCCAGTTACAGGGATAAATTTACCTTTCTTTACCTGTTTACTATTGACAGAAAGTTTATGTGCTGCATTGACCATTCTGCTATTGTTCCTTCTATCATTTAAGGTCTAAAAGTTTGTAACGACAGTAC